GTGTGAAGCCATACAAAGGAAATATCGTGAAAATGTGGCCGTTTCACAACGAGTGTACCAGTAAAACAAGACTCGTAGGAAAGACTGCAGTTATAACAGGAGCGAATACTGGAATCGGCAAGGAGACCGCTAGAGATCTCTATCATAGAGGTAACTTTATTATTAAAAAAATTTTTAATAGGAGTTGATAATTTCCTAAAGTGATGATATATTCAAGTTGTTTAGAAATATTCATTATTATAACATGTATTAGTTTGATAGTTTTTTTAACATAACTTAATAGAAAAACAATTGTATTTGTACATTTAAATACATGAATAAAATATTTATATTAAGGAGCAAGAGTTATTTTGGCTTGTCGAGATACAGAAAAAGCAAACGACGCACTTGAAGATATAAGAAGAAATCCTCCTTCAAGGTAAATAAAGTTGCTGTGTATACATATAATATATACACTGACCAGTTATTCCCCCACTTATCGATAACTCAAATTTATCGGTTGAGCGATCGGTAGTCGTTAACCGGCACACACCAGAGATATGCGATATATACATATTTGTATTATTACAATAACGTATATACATACATATATACATTTTTATATAGCAGTTAATATTTTCGTTTTTATCATTATTACAAAGAGAAAAATTAATTGTCTTTATGTTTATCGCAAGAAAGTCATGCTAGAAAAATTACAAAACAGTTCGCAAGATCGAGCAAACATGATTTTGTTTTGTAAAATTACTCAATTTAATAGTGTACTAATTGTGTCATAAAATATAATTATTATAAATGGTATATTTCATCAGATTGCCAGTATTAATATAAATAAAATGTCAAGTTTTAATCCACCTCAGCTGGCTACACTTATTAAATACGCCTTCATAACGTTTCGAACTTTAGTTCCTTATCAAGTGAGATCTAAGAGTACATGTTTTACATACAAATTACGTAAGAAGTATTAAAAAATTGAACAGTATATTTAATAAACGTAGCCAGCTGAGGTCGATTGAAACTTGAAATTTTATTTATAATTATTATATTATATATAACGGTTTTTTCTGAGATATGAATATATATAAAGTTAATATCTACACACTTTCATGTAATTCACACACATTTATATAATTGTATTATTTACTCACACAATATACATATATTGACTGATTTCTTATTCAAAGTCGTATCTCGATTTTACGCAATTTACATATTCAGAAATTGTATAAAAACGAGACACAATTAACGATTATGATAAAAATCAGTCACTATGTAATAACATGATAATTTTCAGAGCAAACAGGAAACAGTTTCAAGGTAATCCAGGTGAACTTGCGATTTATCATTTGGATCTCTGCAGCCTCAAAAGTGTAAAAAAATGTGCTAAAAACTTGGTGAAAAATGAATCAGCTATTCACCTGCTGATAAATAACGCTGGTGTGATGATGTGCCCGCAAGAAAAGACTGAAGACGGATTCGACTTGCAGCTGCAAACAAACTATCTCGGTCACTTCCTTCTAACACTTTTACTGCTACCTAAAATACAATCCTCCGATTTTGGTTGTAGAATAGTGAATGTTTCGTCTTGTATGCACACATGTTCGTAAAATTAATAACTTTCTAGTTAAATTTCTAACTTGCACAAATATAAATTATTAAATAGTATATGCTTATACATATAGTAACATGACACTATTATGGAAGAAAATTTATTTGCCTATCACAATAAAATTGTTACTACATATTTTTTTAGAGAACAAATAAATTTTATTAATATATGATGTAAATATTTCAATATTATAGTAAGAACTGTTTTGTTGGAAAAATAGAAAAAATTTACAAGACAGATTTTGTTTATGTTTTTTGTCAAAACAAATATTCTATCCGTAAAAAATACATTTTGCTAGTACAACAAAATTATATCGCCGATATAAAATGTTGATACGAAAGACAAAATCAGAAAAAAAGAAATTATAGAACAAATTTAAAGCTATTTTAGTAAATACAATTTTCTTAACAAATCTTATTGATTAAAAAACTAACAAAATTTACTATAACATTTACATATTTGCTCAGTAAATTTTTTTCCATGATACATAACACTAAAAAGAAATAATTGATAATAATAGCTATTATCATAATACAGTTGGCGCTATACATGAGGATCTAAATTTGGAAAAAACATACACTCCCTTCAAAGGGTATGCGCAAAGTAAGTTAGCGACCGTATTGTTCACCAAGGAACTCGCTCGTCGGTTAAAAGGTATATGAAAACATTATTAGACGCAGATATTATAGAGGACTTGAATATTACATATTTGAAGACGTACGCTGACAATAATTACAATTAAGTACAGAAACAGATTATAAGACTTCTGCTAGCTTTATCTAACAACTTCCCTATTAATTTATACAGTGTCCCACTTTTCGAACATTACTCTCTAACGATTTTTTCTGTTCAGATTCTTTAGTCTGGTTAAAAACTATTTCTTTTTACAAGAACGCCATATACCAACAGTTTGTAACTTAGCTAATTTTAAGTGGAATTTTCTTTAATAGGGATTTTTAATTTAAAAGTTACTTATAAACATGTATAACTAATGATTACAACAAATAATGATTTCCATATCGATATTTTTGCCAAAAGAAAATATATTCCAAATTAACCAATCTGCTCCTAAAAAGTAGTATACAAAATAATAAAAATAATCTGTTAAAACAGAAAAATATCTAGACCATTTTTATATTTCTTTTTATATTTTAATGCAAAGTCAGCTTATAAATTACATTACGTATGTGTTTCAGAGGCACACATCTACGGAATAAACGTATATTCTTTGCATCCTGGAGTTGTAACGACAGAATTGGGAAGACATTTTAGTACAACATTATTTCCAGGTGCAAGTACTCTTTTTCAAACGTTTACGCGACCAATTTTAAAGAATCCTGAACAAGGTGCACAAACGACTATATATTGTTCAGTGGCCGAAGAGGCAGCTAACGAGTCTGGTCTCTACTATAAGTAAGGAAACAGTACATATAAAATTATTCGCAAAATATAATGTGCAATGGAGTGACTCCAGCACCCCAGAATAATGTTTCATATAACATGATTTCAACAAAACATAATTGTGTATTACTTCACAAGTTTGTTGTATTACTTATCACAAATTTGATCGCTCAAAATCCTTTAATATCTCAATTTTATACTGTATATATCTATATTTGTATTTTTATCACGTAACTGTAAGAAAAAGACAATATTTCAATATACTTCTTCTTCATTTTAATACATTTTACGAAGAAAATTTGTTTACGTTATTTTGTCTTTATAAAGAGAATGCGGCGTTGCGACTCCACATTGGCGAGCACAAGATAATCAAATTTCTGAAAATTTGTGGAATCAAACCTGTCAACTTCTAAATTTGGAATCTGATGAAGACTTCCAGAGGTTCTTAAAAATATTATTAATTTGGAATCAAATTAATAATATTTTTATCGCAAAGTTGTAATAATATATTGCAAAATATTTGTTTTGCGCATCTAATTTAAAGAAATTACATTTAAGAAATTAAATTAAAATTATTTGTAATGTAATTGCCACGAATAAAATTTAACGTTTTCATATATTATTTAATATTATTACTGCCCCGGTGCTATAGACATTTGCAGCAAGAATCTATGGGAGAAGACATCGCGGACATTCGAACGTTCTCAGAAAGTACTTGGTCATTCGCATTTTGCGACACTTAAGGTAGCTAGAGCATTAGCGAAAACAAAGATTTTTTATTGGCATAAAACTATGTTATTCTATAGAGCATTATACGTAATCAGGAATTAATTCACGAATTTGGTAAATATATCGATGAGGGGAGCCCGCCCCGATGACCTTGACCTTGACATATGTTGTCAAGGTCGCCCTCCTGAGTGACCTTGAAGAGGTTTTAGCCGTCGCTCGTAGTTCGTTAAAAAGATATTTAAAAAATAATGTCGACCAATTCTATGTAATTTTCAGACACAAATATTAAAAATTTTGAAAAATGTTTAAACAAAAGTTGTTGATCTCTTTAAAATATACAGTTTATGTTCTATTAATTTTTACTGTACATGTAATAGTTTTCGAGAAAAATGATGGACTCTAAATTTTATACCTTTCCTCCTATCTAAGCATGTACCTTACAGTACATACACGATTTCACACGGCGCGCTGCGCGCGCCCCACCCCCTTCCCCCATCGCCCCCCTCCTTCCTCCCATCGCCCCCTCCCCGCCCCCACCTCCACCCCCTTTCCACCTGCTTCCTCTATAATACACACATAAAAATTATACACACAAAACGGTTAAGCATTTAATTAATTTCGTGAATGGTGAATCGCTATGGTAGAGTAGATGGGGTAGAGGAGGGGATGGGGC